ATACATGTCCAGCTGTCCTCATACATGTCCAGCTGTCCTCATACATGCCCTGTACCAGTCTAACTTCTCTGCCACTCCAGATTTCCTCATGCAGTACCACACCTCTTCCCTCAGCACTCTCATGTGCTTTTTGTAAATCCACAAAGACACAATGGAGTCCAAACGCATCGAGCTAAAATCAGAATTTACATTTATTATGAGAGTATATGAAACTCAGTGAACCGTTAAAATCACAACTAAATTTTAAAATATTAGTCCCACAGTTCGTATTGTCCTGTGTTGTCTGATAGAACGGTTCTATTTCTGCCCGACAGAATCATCAATGAGATGCTCAGTTTGTACCTGCTGGCCACGAGGCTGATCAGTCCTGTCAAACAGACGGACGAGCTGCGCCCTGCAGAGGAGCTGCTTGGCTCAGGAAGTGCTAACAGGTGTGGCTTTCTCTGTGTTTTCCATCCAGAGACAATTAAAGAACAGAATGTGAATTATATCCAACATGCTGTTGATTAGTCAACAGTACCACCCATCATCGCTCCTTTTCAGAAATTCTTAGTAAAAAGGATCATTTTAATGTTGAATTCAGACAATCAGAAACTTCCCCGTTCCAACATGGGGTGCTGGTTTACTCCATTTTGTGCCTGGCCACTTTTGCACATACAGTGCACTCCTACATTTGGCAAGCAGCTGAAGTCAACAGAGCCCACCTGGTGCAGCTGACTCATAATCTGAGATTTGCAGCCTCAGAAGAGGAAGACAGAAGGGTATTAGCATGCTGCGAGTGCACTCAGTGACACCTGCACCTCCTCAGAAGTGAAAGAACACACTCTTTAAGCTCTGCCTTCAACGTTCAAGAGCCCTGAAGCACACATTAAGTAATGTAGAAAATGGATTTAACAGTGTCGGGTTTGGCATAGGTATTGTGCAAGTTTGCTCTCTGTGGTGACCCATGCAGAAGTATTCTTATTCACTTTTTAGTTTTTGTTTTGAGCGCACGTCACACCAGATAAAAATCCTCAGACCTTTATTCAGTTTTTTATCCTTTACATCGAATCTGTTCTATCAGTCACATATCCTGACGCGCCCTCAATAATCCAGGTAGAGAAATTAAAAAAAGTTAAGTCAGGTCCACTGGACAAGTAGAAAGTAAAAATAAAAATTGTTGTCCAGAGGACCTGACAACTTTTTTAGAGATCAATCAGATGTTACTGGAACTGCTGCAAAGTTTAAAGTTGCTAATAAAAAATAAAGAAATGCCCCCCCCCCCATGTCAACAGAACAGTGAGCAACAGACTGATTATCAACGTTTTCTTGATTTTGAACAGAAGGAAAACCTTTAGAATAATTGAGGACCTATCGTTCATATCAGCTGCTTCCTGTCACGTTAATATTTTAGACTACACCAGTTTAGACGACACCAGTTTAGACGACACCAGTTTAGACTACACCAGTTTAGACTACACCAGTTTAGACTACACCAATGCAGACATGTTCCTGTTCTTAGTTTTCTTAATCCCCTTATAATCTTGCTGTTTTTTTGTTACTATTCCTCTTGATTGTCCTTTTAGTTGCTGTTTTGATTTGATTTGTAAAAAAAAGAGATTTAAATGTGTTTGCCTATTTCATGATTGCCCACTGTTGTCATCACTCTTTGTTAAAGAAATCAGGTGTCTCTTGTAAACGAGTCTCACTGGGATTAACCTGTAAAAATAAAGGTTGAATGAATATTTTACACTGAAATCATCTTACATTAAGAAACGACGAGCCTTAAAGGTAACATTGTGAGGAGTTCACGTCATATCTCACCTGATCTGTTAGTGCTTGGACTAAGTGCTGAGGAGGACTAACAGCTACTACCACTCTGAAGTTTAGCTCAGTATAGTTCAAATCTGCAGATGAAGCCTTTCTTTGTGTTTGTTAATGTTGGTCGTCCGTGGACGTCGTCTTGAACTGAGTTGATTCCTAAAACAGTTAACGAGTATTATCTGAGCTTCAGTTAAATCCGTTCAGCAGTTTTTGAGATATTTTGCTAACAGATAGATTCGACACCAACACTTAATGTCAAAGTTTTAAGTAAAAGCAAAGATGATGTGTTGTGTTCAAAGTTTGTGTTGAAGATGACTCTCAGCTACTGCCACATGAAACTTTGGCTCAGTATCTGTAGAAGTGGAGAGTTGTGGTCACTTCTGTGTTTTCAGACTTTAGTTGGTTGTGGCGGCCATCTTTAATTGAGTTTCTCAAATGTCAATCATTTCAGATGTCATCCTAATTATTGGGTTCTGGAAGTTCCAACAACATGTGCTCGGTGGTTTAAAGTAATTGAACTAACAGCCTGAAATGATTCTAACGGTAAAACTGAGAAGACAAACCTTGAGTGATCAGTTAGCCGTCAGAGGAGCAGTTGAGGATTAGCTTCAGCTACTACCACGCTGATTTTTAGTTCAAATACAACTCAGTTCTTGACGTTTTGTGTGTTTGCTAAGATGTGTTGCTGTGACGGCCATCTTACTCCATCCAGTGATGCATGAGATATTTTGCTAACGGTACAGTTGAACACACGTAAACAATCCACCCTCACTTTTAATGGTTGATAATAAATTTGAAGAAACGACTGATTCATAAATTATATCCTGACTAAAGTATGACTGGATAAACAAACAAACAAAAATGTAATTTCATGACGTGGACGGAGCATTTCTGCATTGTTTAGTAAAGTTTACGTTTGTGTTTGCAGACCTGGCCAACAGTTTGAGCATCATCATCATCATCATCATCACAGCGCCACAGAACTTCATGAACCAGAATCAGTTCCGTTCTTCACAGCATGAAGTAACGTAATGAAAAAGAAACATTTAATAAATAAATGTAGGGAGTCAAATAATAAAAACAAATGTTTTGTTCAGACTCTGAAAGCGTTTCTTTCTACAGTGTTTGCTCATGTTGTAGTATATGAAGAATATTTTGATCATCTTTATATCCATGTTTAGTAGTTGTCAGAGAGAAGCACAGTCTCTCACATCGTCTGCATGTCCTGAGCACCAAACTGACAATAAAATATCTTTGAATCCTCTCAGGCGTTCCTTTGGTCTCTACTTGACCGAACGGTTCCCTGAATTGTTTTAGGCTTCAACCTTGTCTTCCACTGTTTCTTCTTCTTGCTGAACTTTGGTTTGTCTCTGCCCCTCCCACGCTCTCCATCATAACGTTCTGAGCTGTCATCAGCAGGAGAGGCTGGAGACAGAAGACGACTACTCTGGGCCACTTCCATGGAAACTGTTTCAGCTCATGCTTGTGTCACTGAGTGGATGCTGCGATGCAGAAAGAAGGGAGGGGAGGGCAGGAGAACACAAACATATGAAGCCCTGCTGTCACATGAAGTACAGTCAAGGAGGAGGAGGAGGAGGAGACATGAGGAAGAAAGATGTCTTTGACATGACAACTGGATCTTGCCCACCTTTTGTTCACGTCACACTGAGATTTTCACCTACGGAAAAGAAATCCTCTTACTTTAGATCTCAGCCGTGCATTGACTCATTCATGCAGAAAAAGGTGTGTGTGTGGGGGGGGGGGGGGGGGGAATATAAATAGCTGTTCTACTTTACATGAAGCAAACATTGTTCCTTTGTAAGCAGGCAAACAAAAAGAAGCTGCTCCTGCACTAAATCCACAGTGAATGCTGCAAAGCTCTGCAGAAAGACACGTCTGTTGGTTCAGACACAAACAAACAGAACCTGGGAACTGATGGAGAACAAGAGCTCAGAGTGTTTCTCTTTCTCTCTCAGCCGTCACGACAAGCGTGCACGCCTTATCAAGCAAACAAAGGCAGTCCAGCCGTCGCTGAAGCAGCTCACACCCCTCTGACTGCTCAAACAGTGCACGGACGTGTGGAGGGCTGATACTCAGTGGACAAAGGAATTACCACAAACAGCTGCTGCTCCATTCAGAGAGGTACGGCTGACACTAATAGGATAAATCCATGTCAAATTCACTTTAAAAACTAAACTAAACGTGCACAGAATCCTTACCTTTTTGGCTCTGCCCCTCGTCCATCTCTTCTTCCATTTTGCTGAATTTGTTTTGAAGCAGCTAAATCTTTGGACACTGAAAATGTGATGGTTTAAAGGTTAGAAAACCTGAATAAGTCAGTCAGAAAGGATCCAGAAAGCACCCGTTCTTTCCTTCTCTTGTCTCACGTGCACTTGCTCTGAGGGTCCTGCTGAAAGCTCAGACTGACGGTCAGCTGTGGCTCCTGTCAGGACTCTGCTGATGTGAGGGATCACTGAGTCTTTGTGGTGCTGTCCATTGTGAGCAGCCGTGGTGAGTGCTGAAACGCTCCTTGGTCCCTCGTGGAGGAGGAGGGGTAGGGGGCTGGATTGAGCAGAGGGTGGTCTCTACGCTGGGAGATGTAAGAGCAGGCATGCTGAAAGGGTTTTTAAATGACAGCTTGGAAAATACGGAGCTGAAACACAGAGAGGAGCAGCAGAGTTTAGATTTAGGTCAGCTCAGACTTTTACAGTTTTGTTGTGTTTGGGTCAAAATAAGTTGCTTTAAACACCCCTGGTTCCCTGTCAGAATGGTTACACCCATTATCTCCCATCTCCCTCCTCACAGAACCAGTAGCTCTACTGCATTAACTCATTATCTCCTTAAATGAGGGAGGGGGCAGCTGATGCTGAAATACGATTCTCCTGATCTTATTAGTCATAGTGATTCAATTATACAATCACCACCGAGGTTTTAATGGAGTTTACAGCATGCACGCTGCACATGCAGGCAGACTCTGCAGAGCCATGAAAATATCATTTTTTAGACTCATATTCAGTATGCTGTGCAAGCAAGTATTCAGATTTTATCAAGGTTTCTCGTCTTTCATTCAACCTGTAATTTTTAGGCTGTTTTAACAATCTATTCACATTTCTACATCCATCCATCCATCCATCCATCCATCCATTATCTTTACCTGCTTCTTCCTTTTTTGGTCATGGGGGTCTCATGATGTCCATGTCCCAACTGTGCGAGAGGCGGGGGACACCTTGGACAGGTCTCCAGTCCATCACAGGGACACAGAGAGACAAACGAGACAAGCAACCATTCTCTCTCTCTCTCTCTCACCTCGGGACAATTTAGAGTTACCATCAGTCTAACATGCATGTTTTTGGTCTGTGGGAGGAAACTGGAGAACTCTGAGAAAACCCACGCAGCACGGAGAGAACATGGAAACTCCACGTAGAAATGCCCCTGGACCGGGGTTTGAACCAAGGACCTGCTCACTGAGAGGCAGCAGCTCTACCAACTGAGCCACCGTGCTGCCCTGTTTAAATTACTTAACTATTGCAATTGCTTGATATAGGTCCTTAAGAATAAAGGGACGAGACAGCCCCTGGTTTACTCCAGAGCTAGCTGACCTCCTGCACAGGAGAGATCATCTTTGGGCCGCAGCGAGAAAATCTGGCTCAGACACTGATTGGTTGAGTTTTCGACAGATGAGGAATAAATGCACAACTGCTGTCAAAGCAGCAAAACAACTATTTCTTATCTCAGACCTCCAAAAATCTAAATGACCCTAACAGATTCTGGAAAACCATCAAATCTCTCTCAGGCAGCCCCCAATCATCTGACCTCCCATCACAACTTCTCGTTAACTCTGTTCCTGTGTCAAATAAGCACGAGATCCTGAACTGTCTCAACAAACATTTTGTTGCTTCTGGTTCTTTATTTGACACAGTTACTAATGGAAGATCAGCCACTTCACTTAATAACCAAACTTCTACAAATCAAATCCCTCCTACAAGTCAATCCTCAGTTAATCACAGCTTCGCTTTTTCTCCATTCTCAGTCAGTGAGGTCAATAAACTGTTAAAAGATCTTGATCCTAAAAAATCTGCAGGTCCAGATGAACTTCCACCATATTTCTTAAGGCTGGCTGCTCATATCATCACAGTCCCTGTGACCCACATCTTCAATCTCTCCATGAGACAAAACTCCATCCAGACACTTGAAAACAGCCTTTGTTCTTCTTTGCTGAAGGGAGGTGACCCCACCTCACTGAACAACTATCGACCAATCTCTAAACTCTGCATTTTAGCCAAGGTTCTAGAAAAACTGATAAACTCTCAAATCAAAGATTACCTGGACTCATTTAACATCTTACCTCCACATCAATCTGGTTTCAGGAAACAACACAGCACAACCACTGCTTCACTGAAGGTTCTTAATGACGTTGTTGAAGCACTGGATGCTAAAGATTATTGTGCTGCACTTTTCTTAGACCTGTCTAAAGATTCTGACACTGTGGATCAGAACATCTTGTGTCATAAACTCTCAGAAACTGGTTTCTCAGATCACACCATTGGTTGGTTCTCTAACTATCTTTCAGACCGGAGGCAATGTGTTCAACATAATGGTACTTCCTCCAGTTATTTAACAGTCAACAAGGGTGTACCACAAGGCTCAGTCTTAGGATCCACCCTCTTTACAATCTACACAGGTAATGAAGGTCAGAGCATCCTTGACTCATCCTTACATTTCTATGCTGATGACACAGTTGTTGTTTGTCGAGCTAAAACTGTTGATAAAGCTTTCCAGCTTTTGAAATCTGCATTCAACCTCATCCAGTCAGATTTGTTCCACCTCAAACTAAAGATTGTTTTCACACCTGATAGTCCGGTAAACTCGGTTCGGTTGGGGACCAATATTCATAACATTTTGTTACATTTGAGCTGGTGCGTTTGCATTCACACTGCACTGTGCAGTCGAGCCAACCTGTTGAACCAACCTGTTCAAACCAACCTGTTCCCCCGCTCGCCTGTGGGGGCGCTGCACCAAAAACTACTGAAAGAAACGAAACAAAAACCTCTGAAGAAGACACTTCTTCTTCTTTTGATAATAAAAACAAAAACAGAGTGGCATCAAATTTTAGATGTTTTAGGAGTTATATTTTGTCATTTTTCAACAATGGACTCGGCATGAGTGGAAGATGAGACAGAAGACCACGGAGAATGTTGTTTTTCACACAAGTCAGCTGACGGCTCCATATGAGGATAAGAGAAATGTGTGTTTGTTTGCCCTGCATTGTCGTCCTCTTTCTGCTTGCGGAGCGGGGCCCGGTCTGTTTACATTCACACTGTACTCGAACCGTGCTAGAGTTTTCTTGTACCGGACCGAGACCTAGGTTTTAGACCAGGCCAGAGTTCACCTTTTATTTCCGTGACAGAGTTCGATGGCGAGTCCACACCTCCCCAAACTCCGTTTTATATATATATATATATATATATATATACTGAAATATATATATATAAAATATATATATACTGTCAAGTGACTGAAGATGTTTAATAATCATTTGAATTAATGAAATTAGGTTTATCTTTGCTTGGCAGTGGACAGATGGTGACTGGGACGGACCATCACACAGGTTCAGTAGACCAGATACAAATTCTTCTGAGTCAACTCAGTTGAAGAACAACTAGTGACATGAAGAGCTCAGAGATGGACAATTGTCTTCAGAATTCAATCAAACTAAACCAGAGACTGAGCATAAGGAAACACCTTGCATGAGTCGAGCATTGAATTTGTTAAGTAACCTTTTCCTCACCGTTTACACCGTTTCTTCCTGTTTGACCCAATTTACTGTGATGCTTGTTCACAGTGATTATGCTAATTTTTCAAAACCAACTGAATTATTTATGTTAAAATCTAATGGTTTATTAATCTTTCATTTGCTTTGCAGACTGTTTTTTTGTTTTTTTTTTGTCTGCTTTTCCTTATGGTCCATCCAAATGGCCTAATACCCTGCATCCATACAAACCCGGTTACAAAACTAGATTTATTAGATGAATAAATATAAACAAAAATGTACCAACAACAGTCTAATGATGATCATTTTTGGTTTAACTGCAATACTTTGAACAGTTTTGTCACTACTATGTTTGTATAGAGGTTTCCCTGAAGTTGATCAACTGGAATAATGTTTGGGTCACTTTCAGAGACACAGGATGAAGACAGCCAGCTGTGCACATGCTCTTTATGTCATGAAGCAGCTGCAGTGCCGTGGTCATATTTATTGTTCCTCGCTACCGAGCAAAGAGGGGGAATTGGAAACATCCTCCATCCCCCCGTACACCCGTGCATGTTGTGAGCAGGGTAACTTGAAAAACAAGCGAGGTACCGACATCCATTTTGGTGTGTGTCTGCATCGAGGCTTAAGAAAGGTGCCTATAAATATTGGGTTTCCACAAGATGGTCACCACTACATATGTATGCTTTAGTTTTTATATTGCTCAGGTTTTCTCAGATTAGGATGACCAAAGACTAATCTATGGTGTCAAAGGCCAACATGTTTGTCTCCCATGGAAGGGATGGAGCTGTTGCTGCTCCACATTTCACCTGCAGACGTTCAGGAGGTGAACAGCAGCGAGTTTTCAGAGTCACTTACTTCAAAACTGCTTGAATTCTAAAGCAGAAACTTACAGCTCGGCTAAACGTTAATATTTTGAAAACATCAGAAATAATCTGAAATAAATGTTGTTCCCTCACATAATTTTTCATTTAAATAAAAATACTGTGGTCAAAGGGAATCTAATCCAGAAGACAAGACACATAAGAGACCACGAGGAGCCACGCACCATTTCATCTGCAGTCATAAGAGTTAAAGTGTCCTTGGGTGTCATGAAAGGCGCTTTTTAAATAAAATGATTATTATTATTATAAGTAGGCCTGTCACGATAACACATTTTGCTGGGCGATTATTGTCTCAAAAATTATTGCGATAAACGATAATATTGCTTGAAATTTGACAATAATTATCATTGTCATTTTTCACACAAAGCTTTTAATTAAAAAAAAAATCAGTAAACAAGTTCTCAGCTTCTTTTTGCAGAGAAAAACAACTTTTTACACGAGGGCACGAGTTTCAACCGTGAATTTTGGAGCTTCGACAAGACGGAGGATTTTCCCCGAGGTTGGCCTGTTAGCTTAGCTCGTAGCTTAGCTGCTTTTAACCATCCAAAAATGTAATTTTGGATCGTTAAAACAGATTTTAAAGAGAAAAGAGAAAGGGAGGGGTCAGTGAGGAGCACCAGAGTTGTTCCTTTTGTCATCCAGTGTCTTCAGTAGAAAGAGAGAGACGTGAAGAAATGATAAAGATGATAAATGAAAATGAGGTCGATAATTTTAATTTATCATGCGATCAATTGATTTATTGTTTATCGTGACAGGCCTAGTCATAAGTCCATAATCACAGATTTAATACACAAAGATATATCACTGAGTACAGAAAGGCTCTGATTCAAGACACATTCTGAGTATTTGATCAAGAG